AAGGGCAATGAAGCTGGTGAAGGGTCTAGAGAGCAAGTCTTTGAGGAGTGGCTGAGGGAACTGGGATTTTGTAGTCTGGAGAAGAGGAGGCTGAGGGGAGACCTTGCTCTCTACAACTACCTGAAAGGAGGTTGTAGTGAGGTGGGTGTTGGTCTCTTCTCCCAAGTAGTTAGCAATAGGACGAGAGGAAATGGGCTGAAGCTGTGTCAGGGGAGGTTTAGATTGGATATTAGGAAAAATTTCTTCACAGAAAGAGTGGTCAAGCATTGGAACAGGCTGCCCAGAGAGGTGGTGGAGTCACCATCCCTGGAAGTTTTCAGAAAACAGGTAGATGTGGCACTCTGGGACATGGTTTAGTGGGCATGGTGGTGTCAGTTTGATGGTTGGACTGATGATCTTAGAGATCCTTTCCAATCTTAATGATTCCTAGTTTTTACTTTCATTAGAAATAAGGCTGCCACCAAGCCAGGAAACATGAAATTGCTACTCTACCCTTAACTGGTTTAGTGGTGGACTTGGTAATGTTAGGTTAATGGTTGGACTGGATGATCTTAAAGGTCTTTTCCAACCGAAATGATTCTATGATTCTATGAAAACAAACTCACTCTATTGAGGTCTCTTGCACTTCCCTAGGCTCCCTTTCTGGCCCCATATTGCTTAATAAGAATTCCCTTTACATTTATGACAGTATACCTGAAAATATATTTTGACCTTTTAATGCCATTAAGCATGAAAATCATTACCCACCTTGCAATCTCTGCCACCACTCTCCCAGTTTGCTTTCATGGAAGGAAGTGAAAATTGTCTTAATTGTGAAAGAAACACTCGTCACCTCACAGAGCTGTCCCTACAACCTTCATATGTTGACCTATCTTGACATTTTACTGAAATAAGTGGACGTTCTCATGAAGTCTGCTGCCAGGAGACACATAGCCATTCTGGCAATGAAGATAGTAATTCTGTTCCCAATCTGTCCTCCTTCACATGAAGTTGCTACATGGTTTACGTTGACATCTGTACAACTTACATTTCTGCATATTGGCACTTATTAAAATCAAATCTGACTTCACTTCACACTGTGTAAGCCATGTGCGGTAACTACAAGGCTGAGGCAATGCATTGGTATCCGAAACACTCATCCATTTATTATTTCTAATAGATCTGCAAAAGTAAAGCTCAAAGATTAAGTTTAGGCCAGATTTTAGCAGAACAGGATGCATCTGCGAGGTGCAACTCAATGTGGTCTGCTCTTGGCTATGAGCAGGAGTTTTTCCAGCCAGCAGAGTCAGACATATGGAAACAAAGTGCAAAGACAACCTTTGTACTGTAGCACAGTACCAGTAAAACAAGGGACACCATCTGAGAAAAAATATTGAGAAAGTGAGTATGGGAAGATTCAAAGCCTCAAAGGACAGAAAATACCTGGTATTTCTTCTCACTACTGTGCTTGCACTGTTTGCAACTGAATGGCCAGGTGCTGCTTTGCTTTATTCCACTGCAATATTTTGAAAGCTGTAACTGATCTGTACCATGGTATGCGTATAATGTGGATATGGGAGGTGAGGGGTGGGGCTGTGACAAGGAGCACCTTTTTGGTTTTAATACACCTTATTCCTAATGTTTCTCATTCTCTTCCTAGTGTTCAGTGAGCTGTGGAGAGGGCACCCAGAGTCGAAATGCCATTTGCAGAAAGATGCTGAAAACCGGGGGTTCTGTCATCATCAATTCCTCACTGTGCCCACCTTTGCCATTCTCATCCTTGATCAGGCCCTGTGCACTAGGCACCTGTGCAAGTAAGTGGAAAAGATGCTTGGGAGTGTCTGGGAAAATGGGGCTTGGATGTCAATCACTGATAAATCCATGCTGTCACGTGTTCCATAACCTTCTCCTATGCTAGCGTTACTCAGTCTTGTGGAGCGGCTGCTGCTGCTGAGTTTTTCTGTCTGTGAACAAGTATGCTTTGTGTAGCAATAAGGCAAGTCAGTGGATGAGAGCTATAAATTTTACTGTTGGAGCTGGGTCTGAACCAATCTCCTGGAAGGGAGCTACTAGTTTCTGGAAGAACTGGCTTAAAATTCTGACCCAAATCAAGATCTAAATTTCACAACTGGAATGTAGAGGCTCAGAGATACAACACACCAGCCTGAAGGCAGCTGTGAATAAACTCTCTGCTGGAACAGCTGCAAAGAAAGTGGTTGGTAAGGGATTTTGCTGAAGATAGTTTAAAAACATATTATTTCATTATGTCACTCAGAACCCTCTATGACCTGGGATTTCTAACGAACCATGCAACCTGAGTTAGATGTATTTTATGTTGGTATTTCATGCATTTGTTTTTGCCCTTCACATAAGCAGTAATCTCCCTGTATGCCCTTCCCTCACTTGCAGTAAGCCAACTGGATATGCAAAAGTTCAAAAGTCAGCCTAGCTTCAGCTTAAAGCTGACTGTGAACTCTGAAACTGCTAAATATTTGGTGTGTCAGGGAGAAAAGAAGATCTGACACTCAGAACCAAAGCTGGGACCAAATGTTACATGGCATTTACTAATAATACACCTATGCTACTTTTAGTGCTTCATAACAAAGATCTCTGTCATACAGATCTGGAAACTGAAGGACACACTGAACTAGTGCACTATCATGTTTTTAAGCCTAGTCCAGACAGTTTTGTTCTGCTCAACCTTACTCCCTGAGGTAACAGTACTTACATTCTTCCTTACCGCTATGAGCAGGAAGATCATGTTGCCTTCGAGCATTTGTATGGTAAACACTTGTTTTTTCAATGTATTTATTAAGCAACAATCTCCATTTAAATACTCTAACAACAAGAACTACATTTCCACTCAAGTTTTCTCCCTCCCATAAAGTTTTTGTCCCTGGCTCTTTCTGGTTTCTGCATGTACCCTGGGTGGGACCGCTTTTGCATTCCTAAAGTGCATCTTGTTATTCCTCTTATTTTGATTGCTCCAACTTAATATTCAGCAGAGGGTGGCTGGTTTCTCCCATTACTGTCTAATGGGTTTAATGCTGCCAGCACCAAAGTAAACTGTTTGTTTTCTTTAATGGTATCACATACTAATAGTATTAATGATATTTCAGGGCACAACAGGCCAGGTCATAAGCAAAGCCCCCATATTATGGCTGTGAAGAACGTTTACATCCAGACAAGGAAGCAGAAGAAGCTACACTTTATTGTGGGTGGGTACGCCTACCTGCTGCCTAAAACTTCCGTTATTCTCCGATGCCCCACAAGGAGGTTCCGGAAATCAATGATCACTTGGGAGAAGGATGACAAGAGGCTTGTCAGCTCAGCTCACATCACCATTGCACCCTATGGGTACATGAAAATCCATCGTTTGAAGCCTTCAGACACCGGGACATACACCTGCACAGCAGGGCCAGCCCAGGAGCATTTTGTAATTAAACTAATTGGAAGCAACAAGAAGATCATTGCTGGGCAGCCAACTGGTATTAGGGAAGAAGAGGCCATGAGAAAGGCCAGCTTAAATGAAGCCTTGCTAACACAGGGGAAATACATCAACAGGATTCTTTTCAATGGGAGCAAGGCTGAAAAGCGAGGGCATCTTTCTGACCCTAGCAGCTGGTATGACGATATTGTCTCAAGGCTGCTACAGCACAGGGGCTGGCCAGGGGAAAATCTGGAGTCCTGGGAAGCCCAGGAGTCCACAGAGAGAAACACATCCTCAGAGGAGGACCAGAGCCGGGAGTATAGCCTGCCATTTACTATGGTCACAGAGCAGAAACACTTGGATGATATCATAAGGAACTTGTCTCAACAGCCTGAGGAACTTAAAGACATCTACACCGAGCAGCTTGTGCAGCTGGCTCACGAGATTTTCAAGAGCCACTTGGAGCACCAGGAATCTGTCCTCAAAGCATCAAGGCGAAGAGTAGATTCAGCCTCAGTGGAGTATCCTCTTCACAGACATGTTTCTGGATTTACCAGCTCCCTGAGAACATCATCTGCTGAAGCATTTCTTCCCACTTCTGTAGAGCTGGCAAATGGTTTGCGCAGACCTCAACAAAAGCCTGCCATCCTCCGAAAGATCTCAGCAGCACAGCAGCTTTCTGCTTCAGAGGTTGTTACCCACCTGGGACAGACGGTGGTCCTAGCCAGTGGCACGCTGAGCGTACTGCTTCACTGTGAAGCAGTGGGAAACCCAAAGCCCACCATCAGCTGGGCTAAGAATGGAGAGGAGGTGAAATACAATGATAGGTAAAACATATTATTTAAATTTTAAGAAAATAAGTAATATTTTGACCCTTCAGTTTCCATGGTTTACTGCCTGTCAGTCCCATGGACAAAATCATATTTTGCTGTAGTCTGATTTCATAGCAGAAAGAAGGGCTAAAACACGTAAGTGGTAAACAGGGCATGGTAACTCTTCAGCAAGGTCTGGATTCTGGGTTAGTCTGGTGTGGCAAACAGGAGCTTTACTTCTGTTTCAATAAGCAAAAAGAGGAGTTTTTAAAATACTAAAGTAGATAAGTGCTTAATGCAGTCAACAGAGCACTCCATGTCTGGAGGCTGGGACCCTTAGTGTATTTTCCCATCTGAAGGTGGAGGTTTCTGCTATGAAGATTTTTTTTGAGATATGAAGATTGATTCTTGATTATTACTATTATCCTCTGTTGGAGATATGAATTGCGTTTCTCACAATGTTCCACCAGGGTCTGTCTGACGTTGTGGTAGCAGAAGATGGAGGAAGTGAGGCTTCTGCCTTCCACACATGTATCTATGTGTAAAACTGCCCCAGGATAAACCTGAGGGGGTATTACAATCACCATCCCCTGTGTATGTTCTGATAGAGGCTGAAAACTGTAGAACCATACTTCATGGCTATTTGCAACTATGCTGTCATCTCAACACACTAATCTCTAAGCATTACTATTCTGATGTGAGTTGGTGCATTATCATCTGTTCAAACTCCAGTGTGCTGGCCTCAGGTGTAGCCTGAGAACTTGAGTAACAAAATGCTTTTGTCAGTGTACCACAGAAATGATGCTGGTTTTCTTTCAGGTAGCCCTTACCTGCCTAACACGCCATATTATTCATTTGTGTGCAAAAGCACACAAAACCAGATTATTTTCAATGCTTGTTATATGCTTAACTGTGTTGATAACATACATTTTTCTCATGTGTATACTTGAGATTTTATGTTCTGGTTCTGTTCTGTGAGAAAGTGTTATATAAGGATAGGCAGGGAGTGTAAGAGGCAGTTATATTAACCAACATGGTACAACAAAGCAGTCCAGGAATCTGCTAGCAGCCCTTTCTGCACAAGATACTGACCTCAGTTAAGACATCTGAATTCAGTCATATGGTCAGCTTGGGAAATGAGAAAAGATGGAGTCAAGGCAAAAATTAATTTCCACTGTGGTGCCTGTGGACCATCCGGTAAAGTCTTGATTTAGGTACAATTGCTCTTCCTGCTTCATTATATGATTAGTTTATTAGCTCCTTTCTCACTTTGGCAACTGAATCATTCCAAAATTGTTGTTTTCTCTAATGTACTGAATTTTCTGTTTCTTGTCTCTCTTTCTGTGTCTAAAGTCTAGTAAGTATATTAGGTTTAACACAAAAAATGGTAACTTTGCAGGGGGAGGGGACACTAAGACCAAGAACATATCTCTTGTGGAAATCACATGCAGTCTTAATCAAGACTTGGGCCTATAGTATCCCTTTATTTGGCCATATTCCTGTGAAAATATCTTCATGGCCCCCCAGAAGTTTCATATATAGATTTTCATTGCCAATGGTTTCATCTTGTTGGAATTGTGCCATTAAGGGATTTTTTTTTTTTTTTTTTTTTTTCTCTGCTTGAAATGACTGTGATTTCTATGGTATGCTTGAAAGGGACTGGAGGTTACATAAAGTCCACGTGTGGTTACCGCTGGACACTACACTCATGAGAAAATTATAAGTTTATCTCACACCGTATAAGCAGCCATGGTGTAGCAACATTTAGCTGACAATAAAACAGTTTTATTATTTCTGAAATTTCAATTTGGATTTTTTTTTTAATTTCACAGTGCCTTTCAACCTTTTTTTTTTTCTTTTTGCATTCACTTGGCTGAAATAACATTAAATGTTGTGTTGTATTTTGGAATTATCAGGCAACTATGTGTGCTCAAAATTTGTATCGGAAAGACTCAGGGAAGCACAGCTTATTTCCCAGTTAGCAGCATTGTTCATTGACAACTTTTCTTTAAAGGTTGAGGTAGTTTTCATTTTATGAACTTCCTTCTGTACTCATCACTTATGGCTCCTCCACGTGGGTGGGTGGGGGAGGAAATGATCAGTGCTCTGGGTTTCAGAGATACTCAGCATCTGTAACTTTGGAGTTAATGGAAGTTTAGAAATCATGGTGCCTATAAAAATTGGGTTGTGGATGTTTTGCTAAGTTCTTAACAGCAGTATTCTGGTTTTGGCTCAGAATGCTCTTGCTGGCTGCCAGTCAGCTATGTAAATGAAAGCCGCAGTTTAAGCAGTCTCACAGTGTACTGCTGTAAACTGCAAGGCCATCTGTGTGCAGTGGTGTTTGGTATGCTTAAGCTGTCTTTCAGCTCTCCAGCTTGTCTTCTTTAGCCACTGAATGGAGAAGAGAAACCAGTTTTCCAGCCCTCCTCTGTCTTAATGGGAATAAGAAAATTAATATACATAGGCCTTCCTGTATCAGTATAAAACAGAGATGCGTTAGGTGAGGAAGGTCGGAGAGTTGTGCTGAAATCCCTCAGCTCATGCCCTATTGAGTATACTGAGATTCCAATTGCATCTGGTTTGCACTGTAATTTTTGGAATGTAGGCTGCTGGTTTTAGGTTGGGTGATAGCTCTCTGTATTGTGTATTACCAAATACTGACATAAAGGCATTCTCTTTCATGTGCTGTGGCCGTGGAATTTTTCTGGACCAATGATGTAGCAATGAATGTCTGTATTCCCATTGCATCCTTCCATGAGGCTGTGCCATCCACCTAAAAGTATTTATGACATCTACTACATAGCTCCACTTGCAAAAATGATTTTCTGTAACTTTAGTCTGTTACCATCACAAAAAGATATAACGCAGGCCCCCAGAAAGTGTTGGGGGGGCAGTTACTCAATAGAATGAAAATATATGACACAAAAAGCTCCAGCAGTTGAAAATATCTGTGTGGTTCCAGTAAAAGATCCCGAGTTGAGTCTGCATACTTAGCCTGAGTGCATGCTTGAGTGTCCACACTCTCTCCTAAGGTTAAAGTGTCAGGTTAACACCAGCATGGGTTCTAAGTACAGTTTCAAAGCCTGCTAGTGTCTATACCAAAGTCTGGAGACTTCTGTAAATGATGGAAGGTGTTTTATTTCAAAGAAAATTCAGATTAACTTCCTTAAGAATCAATTTTAAAAGTGAAAAATCTTTGAGGGATTTATGCATTGTTTAGTAAGCCTTCCAAGTATGCCATAATTTCCATCACTGGTAACCCATTAGTACTTGATAATTCAACTTTTCTAAAACAGAAATGTATTTTATAAATGGACATGAAGCAGAATATAAACAGTAGGTGATATAGAGTTAGGTGTTTGCGAGGTGCCATCTGAATTAGTCACTGATACAGGTCCTGTAAAATACATTTTTGTCTTGGACACAATGCAGTATGGAGTAACTGAGATGAAATTGATTAAACATTAAGCTGTATTATTTTAAGTCCATAAATGAGATTCTGAAGACATGCTGTTGACAGAAAGAATTGCTACAGCTGGTATTTTTTTCACCACTGACAAGCAACTCAATACCTAACAAAAATAGCAATCTACGAGCAAATAGGGAATCCAGCCAAAATCATTCTATACAAAGAGGGATAATAAAAGATCTGCTTTCAAGAAAAGCAGCTATGCTAAATTGTGACACACAAATAACAGAAAGAACTATTGAAAAGAAGACTACATTAGCTTTCTTTTTAGAGAAATATTAAAACTTGGGTTGAAAAAATAAGAAGATGGAGCTGTGTTGGAGTTTATTTTTTTTAAAGGCAGGTACCTACCTGGCCTATTTCTAAAAATATTTGTGCTGGATCTTGAGGTGACTTAAATTCACAAGGAGAGATTTACATCAGCTGAGTTGATTAACAACAAACAAATATGATCCCTTGTGTTTTATGAGGAGCATTATTAAGCAAGCTCTTTCTTCTACCTGAAGGTGACAGAAACATTTGTAAAAGCTCTTTTTAGGGGGGTTGAAGGTGTTAGCTTGATGTAGGACTGACTGATCAGCCTACATACTATATTGCACACATGCAGGCAGAACACACACAACTTTTAACTGTTCTATGCTAGTATAATTTGGGACAATTTCTGAAGCTCTAATGAATTCCATGTAGAGATTGAACCAGTCAGTGTTAAACTGAAAAATTTACCTGTGAGATACTGATGCATGTTAACACTAGTTTTGTTACGTAAGTAAAGAAATTTGTTAGTTGCTGACACTGTTAGCAGTGGCTACCTAGAAGTCTGCCCTGTTTATGACTAAGTGGTAAGAAAGAAAAGATCCTTGAAAGCATAGGTGGGGAGCGAATTCTTTCAACCATTAGGGTTCTTTTGCTGTGCAAGCAAAGATGCAATTTAAAAAATTATCAATGTTTGTTTTGTAAATGTGCATTTTTCTAGGCACTGTAAATCTTGGTTGACAAAAGGCAGCTCTTTCTTTTTATTAATAATAATAATTATTATTATTACTCATAAAAGGGTTAAAAAAGAATTTCAACTCTGGAATTTTTCCTGTAATACATTTTGATGGGTGGCCCTAATCTGGTTTGTTTTAGAGATCTACCACCCACAGTGTTGTGCAAGATCAAGTATCCACTGCTTTTTGGTCCATGAGACAACAGTTTTCACTGGGGGGTTGGGAGTGGAAAGAAACTCATCAATTCCAGGATCTGTGAGCAGACTTTTATTGCATGTGTTTTACAGGCATATCCCTCCCCCACTTTCACCCTTGTCACTGTCAATCACAGCCTCAACTAGGAGTTTACGTACAACAGCTGCTGAAAGTTGCTGATGAGAAAAGTAATTTATCACTAGGTTTTATCAACAGTTTCAGCTAAGCTAAGAAATTAAGAGAAAGGAACAATAACCACGAAACACACTGTGCTGAAAATAAGGGAACAAAAACATTGACAAGAGCCCATGGACTGAATTCTTCTTAAACAGGTATACGTCAGGACCTGATGGAGTTATACCACTGCAAAAACAGACTGTGAAAAGAAGTCATTCATAAGAGCTCTAAGGCCATATTAATCACATTTAACCATGGGCAGTACACTGAGATCATGGTAGTCTCCTCTTACTGGCAGAGGAAAGAAACAGTTGGTTCAGCCCAAGGAAGAGCTGAGTATTCCTCTCTCTCTTCACTGACTGTCAGGGGAGCAACGAGACTGCTGAGTTTGTACAAACTGCGCAGCAATCAAAGCATTTGGAGCCTATTTCAGGCTTTGCCACTGAGCCTGTGGTTCACTTCTTTCTGCCTAGCTTCAGCAGGTTTCATTTTCCCTTGCAATAATTTGGCTTTTTCTTTACTATTGCTACTCCTACTTTGCAGAACTGGGAGACAGGGAGGCTAGGCAACCTATTCAACATCATACAGGAGGTGAGACAACAGAGGACGAGGTTTCACAAACCATGAGCAGATGTCCTAAGTACTTAGTAATCTTTCTCTAATACACATATCAGCAGTAGAAGAACTGGGAAGGGGACTAAAATTTAATTTAAGTAAACAGAGATCACAGTCTCAATGTAAGACTTTAAATTTCCTAATAGATTTTAAATATAACCTAAAGGCCTGAACTGTAAAAAAAATTACCTAAACCTGAAAAAATCCCAGTAAATGTATTCATGTTCACACAAACTAAGAGACTATTACATCTTTCTGCTTTAATCCAGGATACTACTTCAGCCTGATGACTCCTTGCAGATTCTAGCGCCCGTGGAAGCTGATGTGGGTTTCTATGCTTGCAATGCATCCAATGCCCTGGGATCTGATTCTGTCTCCATCGCTGTCACTCTAGCAGGTAATGTTTCACTCTCTGTGATTGCAGGATGATCCCTGCCACTTGTGTGATTCCAGACAGAAATCGTTTGTGGGGGAAGAGATGGCTGTGGGTGCTGGGTGGGCAAGGTGGGTCAACAGAGGTACACTGGTGAAAACACAGGGTGTGAACTCTGGAAAAACCTGAGGCATAGTCCAACTTTTCAGACAGTCCATGAAATTTGTGGATTTCTGAAAGAGATCAATGCTTTTTCTCACTTGCTGCATCTGACAGGTGCTCTCAAGACAGTGCTCATCCTGGTTATTCACAGCCTATATGGGCAGTGCAGTCCAAGCCTCCCAATTCGCATGCTTCATTTTAAACCTATCACTCACCTCTTCAAGTCCAACAGACTGATCAAAGGACTTATTCAGATACACATTAGGAAGGCTGAAAAATACCATAGATCCTCTTGCAGGATCAAGCCCTGTGTCATACTTGATCCATTGTGGCACAAGCATGGCTGACACTTTTAACTGCTGGTAAATAGCGGTTCACAAAAAATTAACTTCTATGTTTATATTTCTCTAGTAACAGTCAATATCCTGTGTTAGTTTACATTTCAGTTCTAAAAAAACTCACCCAAATAAAAGCCAAGGGAAATGGGAGGTAGTGCATGAATCTAGCCTCTTCAAGGTTCGTTGGTAGGCAATGCCAGCAGGCTCACAACCACATCAAGACTAGTAGAAGGACAGAGTAGCAAACATGAATGAGAAGCTGTTGAGTAAGGTGAAGGGAAAGAATAGACAGCTAATGGCTGTGACAAGGCAGAGAGGTCTTGGGGAAGGAGGATCCTATTTATCACAAAGGCAAAAGGAAACATATTAGGAATGCTAGAAAGTTTATTGATTTTTTTCAGACCTCTCCATTTCACTGCTCCAGAATGTGGAAGCATTTGGAGGCCCCCAATGTCCAGGCAGTGACCATCAGCTGCCAATGTATCCATGTATATGATTAGAGGAAAGAATAGCTGTTTATGAGCTTGAGTTTTTTACACCAAACACAGAGAAAATTTCAGGTAAGAGGAGCACAAAGAAAATCTCAGAATTCATCAGTGGCCATCAGTGAAGCTCTGATGAACAGTAAATCAACTGGAAAGAGACCTTGCCTGTCCCTTAGAAGGAGAACAGCTGAATCACCCAAGGTGGAAAAGGAAGATCTGCATCAGAGCGACATATTACTTGTAGGCAAAAACTAAGAAACTGATCATTTTTACACTACTGCAGATCAGGAATATCTTTGCTGAATCCCTGGTAGCAGGGCAGTGATGCTGCTGTTAAGACAGTATAGTGTTTTATAAGGAGCAACTCCACAGTAAAACTCTTGTGTTGCACCACCAAGCTCAACATGAGGTTAAAAAATCATCGGTCAAAACTGCTATTCTGTCCATGTTGCTTCAGTGAGTTTAAAAATCATAGTCTTTGTACAATGCAATTTGTGGAGTCGATTTTGTGTGAAGCTACAGAAAAATAAACAGAGCATTAGCTATACAAGTGGCACAGGAAGGCTATTATCTTTTTTATTATAATTAAATCTCAAGGCTGTGGTTTAACCTTTTTAGATTAATTACATTTGTGCATCCCAGATTCAGGCTGAACTCTGCTTAGGAACTGGTATACACTTTCATCTCACATCCAAGGCAGAGAGTTGAACATCTTATAAAATGAGGACATAAGTATCAAAATGAGATACTGAGCAGTTTTTGGAACAAAGCAACAACCTTTTCAGTATAATGAAAGTACTTTCTCCAAAAAAACTGGAAAGCTGAGACCATCTTTAGAGGTATCAGGAGTGGGGCTGAAATCTTATTTCATTGAAGAATTTTCTGATTAGTTTAAGACATGCATGGAAAAAAAGACAATAGAATATGCTTCCATTTTGCTTAATGGTTTGCTACTCATTTATGGGTTGAACAGCTAATAGATTTTTAATCTTTTGATGAGATTGTGGAAACCAATCAGGAAAATAAAAGGTGGATGGATAGCTGAAGAATTTTTCTTTTTTTAATTTAGGCTTTGCCACAAAGCATTAAAACTTTTGGAGATATTTCAACAATAAAATATAATATTTTACTTTGCTATTCTTAGGTATTAAAAGCACCAAAAGAAAAATTAAAAAAAAAAAACCCAAACAAACAAACCCCAAACTGATATGATAGGAATTCCAGATGAAAGGCACCTTTTAAAAGCCCTGAATATACAGCTATATGGAGCACTTTGTAGTTAGGGCTGAATTAAATTTTTAGGACTCTTCATAAGCATAATGAAACCAAATTCTTTTTCTCACCTCCATCTCTTCTTCCTTGGTTACCTCCAGATTAACACAAAGGAAGCCAGTCGTAGACATTAGCCTAAAACTGCAGCTTCTGGAAGCAAATAGTTCAGTGGGCATGGTGGCGTTGGGTTGATGACTGGACCGGTGATCTAGAGGTCCTTTCCAATCTTAATGATTCCTAGTTTTTACTTTCATTATAAATAACCCAGCCACCAAGCCAGGAAACATGAAATTGCTACTCTACCCTGAATTGGTTTAGTGGTGGACTTGGTAATGTTAGGTTAATGGTTGGACTGGATGATCTTAAAGGTCTTTTCCAACCTAAACGATTCTACGATTCTATGATTCCATGATGATATCTGAACCTGTTTTGTATCTGTTTATTTAAAGGGGGGAAAAAAACGTGTTTATAGATTTTTGGATAAAGATAAGTTTGAAAATACAACACTGAGTCAAAAACAGCCAAGTCCCATACCATTTAAAGCAATGTTGTCATGTTCTGCCCCTCCTGCCAACATCCTGCCTGCACAGCATTTTGGCTGGGACAGTGGGCTGCCTTAACCCAGCTGTCAGCTCTGCTGCTTCATTCCCCTCTCTCAGAGCTAAGCCTGAGTACTTCTGAACTGTTTTGTGTCATGTAGGCATGCCTTTACTGTGCCCCTACAAAAGGGGTTGCAGAAGGCACCTCAAGCCCCTCATGGTGGAAAGCTCCATAACTAATCCAACATAGACAGGCACAACAGCAGGGGAACACCTTGACCCACTTGCTTGCTGTCGCCAATGTGGGAAGCACGCTGAAAATGGTTTGAAAAGTTTGTTGCAGGCAAAGCAGGTATCTTTGCTAAACAATGTTAATGCACAACACCGTTACTACAGGCTTTAGATAAAACAAAACTGGTTATCTGACAGAAAGGAGCTTGTTTATGTCCCTCATCTTCTTACACTAGCCATTGTAAGAAAACCTTCTGGTTATGGTCTGGTCTCCCCAATCCCAGTGTTTCCACTGTAGGTTAAAGAAAACATGATCAATGTGTAGAAACAGCTTGCATGTTGCTCTAAGCCTCCTGCACTATTAATGTGCCTGTAACCATCACTCAGGCTTCTTTTTCCTATGTTTGGCCTTTGACAAAGGGTGGTATTTTGGTTGCAGTAGCAGGCAAACATCTTGCTGCAGCTCCAATGGTACTGGTGTTTATTGATTCAGCTGGTTCTCATGTGTGTCCATATGGCTTTAATGCTATTCTGCCTCTGCACTAAGTAGGCTTTTTCTTTTTCCAAGCCAGCTCTTACCATGGAATTTGGTGACACTGTAATATTATAAAGAGCAGGTGGCCTCATACTCCACCATTTTCCCTTATCCTCCTGTTCTGTGTATAGGTACTTTCACACAGAGTGTCCCAGGCCATCTGTCCCATGTGAGTCCCGTGTGCTTGGTCTGATAAATTGTGGTGCTTCTTTTGTACAGGAAAGCCACTGATAAAGACATCAAGAGCTACTGTGATCAACACTGAATCGCCTGCTGTCACTGTTGATATTGGAAGCACAGTGAAAACAATCCAGAGAGCAAATGTCACCATTAGCTGTCAGGTCGCAGGTGAGGAATTACTTGGTCTCCCATGCAGGTGCCTTCGGCTATAAATTTCTGTGGGGTTCTTTGCACGTGTCTCCAGATGCAGCTGGGTGAAACTGCAAGGTTTTCCTAGGACTCAGACAAACTTCACTGCTTCCAATAATTCTTAGCATAGAAATTGTCCTCCTTTTATCAATACCAACAAGAAAAGTGTAGTGGCGTAACAAAACTGATCTGGGACAATACAACAGGCATCTTTGTTAGAGATACATGTGGATAGAACAAAACTGATACATATTCTTACCTTTTGGGGAAGTTTGGTGAGAATACACAAGCATGGACAGACTCATTTCCTCATTGATGGGGTTCTCAAAGTCCACTCTGGTTATTTCCTTCTTTTCCTGCCAAACTCTCTTTTTGCAAATTAAGGGCATGTTAGCACATTCATTTTCTGCTTTTTCTTTTTTTCATTTTCGGAGTGCAGGAATTCAGACGAGTTCTGCTGAAACAGGGTTCTCCCTGAAACTCTTTTCCAGCTATAGACTGAATGTCCCTCAGTCTTACAATGGTAGTTTGCCTCTTTCCAATGGTGACCAACAAAGAACCACCTTATCTGCATGTTGCAGTCCTATGGCTGCTGGTGGGAATGGTGTTGGTATGGGGAGGAGGAGTGGGGGAAGAGAGAGAGCTGGGAAATCACTAAAGACTCAGGGACAGACCTTTGATTCATTACACTTCCATACGTAGTAGGGGGGAACAGGACGGGAAGGGAGCAGCTTATAAAACACAAAGTGAGCCATGCTGAGTGTTAGCACAAATATCTGCGGTGGAGAATTGTATGAAGTCCCTTAGACCCTTGCTTTAGCTTCTTGTCCCTAGCAGCTACTTCAGATGACTCTAAATAAGCATCTGCATCTGCACTGCAAATATACAAATGTCCTGCTTTTTTGACACTTTCTGCTCACTTTAAGCACTTAGTCGATGTCAGTTTTCCTTCTTCAAGTGCTGTTAACCACACCCGTATGCAAATTCTTAAGGAAAACAGTATTTGGCTCAAGTTTCACTATTTGATCATCTGTCCTTTAGCAAAGGATGCACAATAGCTGTGCAAACACTAGGCTGGGATCCCAATTTATTAATTGCTCTCAGTGGTATTAATGAAAGAAAAATACTGTATCATTTTTCCTGGTGGTTCATGAAGGAATAAATTCAGTATTCTGTTCCCCTCTTAACATAGACACTGGATACTCCCTCACAATCAGACTGATGTCCAGTGTCTTTCAAGGAAGAAGGAGATGAAAGCTCTGATCTTTTTCCCCAGGCCCCTGCATGGCCACCTGCACTGACAGTGTGTGAAAGAGACTAAATTTTATATGAACATAAATTATCTTGGATTTCTCTCTCTGGGTTCTCTCACCTGCAGATGGTTGCTGATTTTAAAAGTGCAGGCATTTCCCTTCAGTGTAAAGACATGAAAAGAACAGAATGTGGCTGAACAGAGTTGCCACAGTTCTTATGGCACCAGAAAACTACAGAAGGGGAGCATAGCATGGTCAGAGGCACAGATTCAGTGTCTTTTCTGAGAGGAAAATCATCTCTCACAATTTTATGAAGCCTACCTACTATGACAATGCATGTCCACAATGGAAAATTTTAGCAGTGTCACAGCAGAATCACTGCCTTCTTTCTCTGAGGAAGGCTTTTTGCTGTCTAGTAGCATTACTGTGTGTTGGATTCTTCTGTGATACAGAAGAAATTTGCTTAAATCATAATTTTCTTCATGGGTGTTTATCTTCTACTACTACCTCCACAGAAAATGTCAACTATCTTTCACACCAGAGATTAATGCTGTTGAAATTATGATAAAGTCATAAACCACAAGCTGTGATCTTACACAGGGAATAAAAGAGTAGTGAGAAAATTTTGATTATTTATTTATAATGGAAAATATTTTATAGGCACTAGAATCCTATTTTCATACAAATAGTGTTAATAATTAAACAACAATTTTAAAAAAGCTACATATGGGAAGAGATCCAGGAACAGAGAGATCTCTGTCAGCTGTCTCACCTATGCCTGAAAAACATACCATCTCCTAAAACCTGATAAATAACATGAAAATAAATATAATTTTCCTTCTAATGTAAGCACAAATTTGTTGTTTTAGCATCAGGATTGTGATTATCCAACCTTTTAATATATTTTTGATCATTCTACTTAAAAGGATCAAGTCTAAAAAGTGTAACATGCACTATTGCTTCAGTCGGCAAACGTGTCGTATCCTAAGTGACTTCTTCAGAGTAGATGACCTTTACAGCTCTGCAGTTTGCCAAAGTTACCCAGAAGACATTAACAATGGAATGGTCATCAAATCATACTATGTTAATGTGCAATGGTTAATGCAATAACATCTGATAACAAAAAAGAAATTAGAGTGTGAGAATGAAGTGAACGTAATTAGAAAGCAAACTAACATATCCAGAAATTATGTGGAGACTTACCTAGATGAAAAAACTCTTCACACAGCTTTGTAAAACTATAATCTTTTTTCCTTCCAGTACTTTCCTTCTAGTCATTTCAGGATGCCCTAAGCCAGCACAGCAACTGAGAGTTGTTCCAGATCAGAATTTGGGGCCTGTTAATCTCATCATTATAAGTTGTGTTGCTACCACTGAGCTGTATTGTCTGTAGTATAGGACCATGCATGTATTGGATCTTGATGTCTTGGCTCATATAAGGACACATCTTTACTGAGAATCAGCAGGACAGCAGAGTAAATATTTATAAAAGAAATATTAAGTATAAGGATCAGTTATGACATTTTCTAAAGCTGCTCTTGCTGTCAAGGGACAGAAATATACACTTGCTGCTGAAAGGTGTTGATAAGCCGGGAGAAGGTTTATTCAAAACAAGAGATACGTGATAAGAGATAAGAGAACATTACCAGAGCCTCAGAAGTAATTTTATATTGCTCTGTAACTTCTTCTGAAAGGCATAAGCACCATCAAAATCTGTGTTCTGAGCTGAAACCTATAGACATTAGCTGTAAGACAAGGCAAAATAAAATCATCCTGGATGCATTAGAGTTTAATTGCCCCCTGATATGAATTATGTCAGGATGAAACTTTATTTTAGTTATACCACAAAGACGGTGTTGTGGTTTTGTTCAAGCTTGAAAATCAACCTTATTTCACTTGACATAACTTTGCCACTTTGCCTGTAGAGGTGAAAGACTATTTTTTTAACACAGTTAGGTGATTGTGGTCAATCCCAGACTTCTCCAAAACAAATCCTAAGGGAACTCCCACCCAAAAGTTACTCAGGAGTCCTGCAGATGCCTGTGACTTCCAGGTGGAGGATTTTCTCCAAGCTTCAGAAAGCCAGTAGCATTTCTGGTATGGGCAATTTGATTGCTGTGGGCAATTTCACTTCCAAATGGGATGTGGGAGCAGTTTGGATCACATCTGTATTACTAGGAAGCTTTCTGTTGACTTCAGCGCTTAAATTGTGCAGATATTCATTCAGATACCAGAAGCCTCAATCAATCTGGGCCAAGGTGTTATTGAAAATACAGTTGGACAGGAAAGGAGGAACCGATTTTAAAAATCTAGTTCTGAGAGCATTTCTCCACAGTAACCTTCAGGCCATAAGACCTCTAACAGAGGCACCTGCCTGCAAAGTGTCACGTACCATTAGTCACTGTTGAGTCAGAACAGGTTTGGAAGAGTGACTTAAAATATATTACCATCCTGCCCTGTATATCCTTCTCTCCCTGATGTTTCAGCTTGCAGCTTTTTCAGTTCTCCTAAACATTCCTTTCCTCTGTATTTCATCTATATGCTGGAGGTTATATATTTCTAGTTCTTACCTTGCTTTATGACTCATATTTTTTCATCAACTATACCAGATTCTGACATGCAAGTCACTATTTCAAGAATATTGTGGCACTGAAAACAAGTCACCACTGCTAGATCCTTATATTGCTATACTTCCTTTCCCCAAAAGCTCCTGGTTTAGCAAAATTATCTTGATCAGCATGCACAGTTCTGCTTGCTACTTATCACAGGTAGCCTTTTTGTGCTAGATACACACACAGTGATGGAGGGGAAAGCTGAAGAAGAATAGACTTGGGTAACTGTTCACCACCTAAAGCCTTGCCTGCCCAGCAAAGTGAGTTTTTGTTTCCAGCTGGCATCTCTCAAACTTTCACTCTCTGTGGCAGTTTCTGCAAGGCAAACACACTCAGCCCTCTGTCCTCTGTCATTCACCGTTACCCAACAAAACTGATTGAAATGCTCTTGCTACCCCTTGTGGCAATGCCGCGCAGTGATAGGTTTGCTCATCCCTGTGCTGGCTGCCTCCTATTCCTGTCTTGATGTTTACATGTGGTGTAAAGGTGGAAGCATAAAGGACAATGAAGCTGCTGCTCACTGGCATATACTGCTTATCTTCCCTAAAACGAACTGTAGGAACAGTTGTGCAAGTTAGTTTGAAATAATCGCCTGTTAATGTGGAAACTTCACATTAAAGACAGAGAAAGAACACACTTTTTAGAGTAGCAGTCAGAAAAAGGTTTTTGTAGAGCTGCTGGACATTTTGTAGGTACAGTGCACCTTTCCTAGACTCAACAGTAATACCTCAACAGTAAGGGGTCTTACCTTTAACCCCTTGTTGCTTCTTCTGCTAGTGCAGTGTATACAAGCGGAGTCTTCCATTCTGGGCTAAGACCATCTGAGCAGCTGTCTGCAAGAACCAAATTAGTTTTGTCTGTCTCTCCTGAGCCCCTCCTCTTGAGGACTGTGGTAATATGAAATCCCCATTGTCCCTTTCCCTTCTTCTTTACCTTTCTCATCACTCCTCATCCCTTCCTCTTCTCCCACTATTTGCACTTACCTTCCTTTATTTTCAAGAAAAGCTTGAAAGCTGTACCTAATTTTAGTCTTCAAAACAAAGAAAGAAGATGAGCCCTGGTTGGAATTGGAGAAAGCTTTACAATTTTATAATCTTGTGATTGTTTATTTCTGAGGCACATTTCTTCATACTTCCATGCCTGAGTTTGCCATGCCATGATGTGAAAACCTGTGCACTGTAAGTAACTCAGACTGCAAGAGAGAGAGTAGATCATCCTTTCATTAGGGTGGCATTGGAAGCACAAGTGCTGGGATGTGAGTGTTTTTCTGTCTCAGGGACTGCAGAACTGGAAGACTGTCCATTTTCCTTCCTTTGCTCTCCAGAGCTCAACTCTCAAACTTCCTTTCCCTGCAATGGAAACACAATAAACATGCAGGCTTGAATAAACTCAAAGGTTGGTGTTGTTTGCTGTCCAATGATTGTCTGAACTCCCCTGAGGAGTTCTTGCTCTTGTTCTTGTCTGGATGCTCTGGAAAAAATCAGAGTGAGGTTTTAAGTGGTGGTCAGCCCACCCATGCCACATAGGTCAAAGAGTAGCAGCCAGATGGAAACCTGTGTACTGGTCCTATCCCAGTGCAGGGGGTGAGAAACAGGCCAACAACCCATCCTTTTAAAAAAACTGAGTTTTAGCAACACAAACAAGGATAAGCCTTTGGAAAACAGAGATCATAGACAAGATTGATTAGTTCTCTGGATATACCATGAAGGGTCCAGATTAGCATATGCTATTCACCCTCAGACAAAGGTGAGAAACCCCCTGCAGTCTTTTACAGCCTGCTTCCTGCTACTTTCTGAATGTGGATGAGACTCTCTGCCCTTACAGGGCTTCAGCTTTTCTTCCCAGCTGCCAAGCTCAGACATACTCGTTCCAGATGTCTTGACAAAGTCACCAGATGACTCTGAGAGAGGTGGGAAAAAAGTCACAATGCTTTTATGTGGAAGAATAGGGGAAAATCTCCCTTTCCCACTTCCACCTGCACATGCTTAACAAGGCACCTGCAATCAGGCGGTCAATACGAATACAGACAAATGGGTGGTTGTGCTCAGTGAGCACAGCCCGAGTGAGGTATTTCTGATGCCAGGGCCACAGAATTGACAAACAGAGTGGGTTTTGGGTTTTGACATGCAAGGACAACCAGAAAGGTACTGGCAATGGACAAAGGAACATTTTGCTGTGACATAAGGCAGCAAAGGATTTTGGTGGGCAGCCGATACTTAAGAATAAATGCCTGTACTCATGCCCTTACTCTACAGTAGACACAATGAAACTGCATGTTTATGTGAAAGAGATTAGCAGCCTCCCACCATACAGAGGGTACCACAAATGGGAGAGCATGCACTCCAGCAGTTAGAAGGATTAGTGATATGCTACTCCTTACAGCCATGCATCCACACAATATTGTTTCCCCCCAGGCAAAGTTCCATAGGTCTATCCCATCTATTAAAACTTCCAATACCATTTCCCATAAAGCGATTTTTAGTAGTCAGTGACACTAAATTACCTGATCTGGTATGCCTTTAAATCAAGGTAGAAATCCCTATGCCAGGGAAATACTACCTACTGCAAGACCAGAGGTCTTCCCAGCTACACCTTAGAACCCATTCCTACAAAAGTGTACCCAACAGAGACATCTGGACCTTAGATCCAAGCACACAAAAGGAGGCAATTCTTCTTATAGTGGATTATGAATCTGTAACTATCTGTTGTCTGAAGACTCCTGGTAAGCCCAGTGAAAGTGCTTTTCTGAAGATGTAAATGCTAATTGTTTGCATAATTTCAAAAAGAAAGGTTGGACGAATTAATAGAAGACCCATGGAGGCCTCCTAACTGCACAGAAACTACTGGCTCAGAAAGTGCCTGAGCTGAAACTAGTGGGAAGCTGGGAGAGGCACCATCTTATGGCTTCTTCCAGAGACAGGATACTAGGCTAGATTATCCTCTGTTCTGATCCAATAGAGGCTTGCTTTTAAAAGTGATGATTTCAGAGTTCCCTTGTACAACACTGAAAGGGAAGACTTCAATTTGGTTTTAACCCTTCTGCTCCGTCTCAGAGGGATTTAAGAAACATAAAGGCAGGCAATGTGAAAGAGTTGACTAAACACTTCTGAACTGCAAAATATGTCACTTGGAAGTCATATTAAAATCTTGTTTTAATTGTTCTGTCTTAACAATTTTGTCTGTAGCAACCATAACACTGTTTAGCAACACTATATCTTACTTGTGCTATGTATCGTCAATGTTTTTCCAGGTGTTCCTGAAGCAGAAGTTACTTGGTTTAAGAACAAGGTCAAGCTGTCCTCTGCTCACCATCTGCATGATGGGTTGCTGCTAATTGCAAATGTTTCTCTGTCAGATCAGGGGCTGTACTCCTGCAAGGCAGCCAATCTTCGTGGGGATGTAACAGAAAGCTCCCAGCTGTTCATTCTTGGTAAGTCCAGGGTATTTTGCAATTGCATCAATAGTAATGTGGCTGCTGGCACATCGAGCCTGCAGAACTAATCAGAGGATGTGGAAAGAGGGAATAGCATACAGGGAGCCCTATTATAAGCAAAGAATCAGTCTGCATTTGTTGTCTGGGCAGCATCACCTGAAACAAGGTGGTGCTAAAAGAAGATGGATAAGGAGAAAATGTCTAAGCACAGGGACTGCACCTCCTAGTCCTGAGATATTCAGTTTCACTCTTTCAGACTTATTAGCTAAGAGAAGCATTTATTAACCATCTCTTAAAATGGCTCTCTTGAAATGAGTATGATGCCGCTTTTTCCCTATGAATTGCTCTGCCTCTGCTGAGCAGCCTTTCCATATGTGGCTGTGTGATTCTGACCTGTTTTACACCTAACAGGTGCATAAACCCAGTGTGCTTTTAAAAAGCACTTCCCAAGTTCAGTGAAGGGCAAAGTTTACTTTTTCTTGGGTTTTTAAACAACAGACAGAAAGCCCAGCTGGGTGCTTTGTAAAGACAATGTCAGCTGTTAAGTATGAGTGGAAGTGTTACCTGGTGGTAATTGGATGTGTGAGAAAGGGATTTCCTTTCCTAGTAACTCATCTTCTGTCATTTCTCCATGCCTGGCAGATGAATGATCCAGCCAGACTTTGTAAGTACTTCTGTACATTTGATAGTGAAGTGTCAAATTTTGAAACCTAGTCCCTGTTATTGGTGCAACACCATTAAAGCAGTCATTACAGCTCTCATCTTTCATGACTAGAGTGAGCACAGGTCCCATGGATGATGCAGCTTCCAGAGGAAGTTTTAAAGTGTGATTCCTCAGTTTCACAGACAACACTTAAACCCCTTTTCTTTATGAATGTTCACATGATTTCCCTGTGAATCCAGTCTGGCTCTAGAAACTCAGTCTAAAAAAAATCTAAAAAAAAAAAAATCAGCTGGGTTTCAGCCTATAAATAAAATCTCCCACATGATCTTTAAATCCTTTTCTGATCTTTATAAATGGCTTAGTTTTTAAAGATGGAAAGTTACTGTGAGTTATGCAAGTTACTTATGTTTGTAGGCAAATCACATTTTTAGTTCCTTGATGGAAAGAAACAGTTCAGGCATCCATGATTTGTACATCTGGTGCTGAATGTGATCAGCAATAGAAAACTTGCTTAGCATGTGTCATGATCTAATTGAAAGGGGATGAAGCCACCATTCACTTAAACCAAATATCCCATCATTTCCGTGACAAACACAATTGGGCACGATATGCAACACAATAAATTTTTAAAATATCATTATGCTTAGTAAAGAACTAAATCCTGCAGTTCTCTGCATAGACTGACCCTCTTGAGCTCTGAACTCTTAGTCCTTTGGAGCTCTGCCTAAGTATACCACAGGATTTGGCAGGGTTATAATCATACCCACTCAGGTCTTCATCCAGGTTGTAGCAGACATTAAGAAGTTTTCCACTGACTGCCATGGACATTTGATTGAGCTTCTATGCTGTATAAATTTGCTCTTTCATCCAAGCTGCTGCATCTCCTGATACCATGTACCTTTGTCGCACATGAAGAGGGTCAACCAGACTGCCATGGTAGCCTTCAGACAGAATTTCATTTATTTTGTGGTCATACTGATCCAGAAGTTATTTTAATAATTTCTCTAGTGCCTTACCTAACATGAGGCAAAGCACACCTTTAGTAGTTGCCCAAAGTTGCTTAGACTGCCCCTCTGAAATGGTAATACGACATCACAGCAAATAATGCAGCAATAGCTGGTGATGGAGCTTTTTAAGTTCCTGAGATGTTTTTTTGCTGTAGTGTTGCTCATCACTTCAGTCTTCCAATCTGTTACCAGAGCCTCCAAGACCTCTTCCTTACCTAGAAGACTTGACAACAATGCTTTCCAGTGCTGGGAACAGCACTCGTTCAGTGCTGACCTCTCCTTCAGGAACGAAAATGACCGTCAGTCCAGGGAGTTCTGCTCTCATAGGTAAGTCAAGTGCTCTAAGATATTTTTTAGATTAAAAAGGGTTTAGAGTTTAGATTACAGTTATGCATCTCATTATCCGTTACAGCTATGCATCCAGTTATCCAGCCAAGGAGCACTGGGACAAAAGACATCAAACCGACAGCGCATTGTCACTCATAATCACTGCCAAATTGTTCTCAGAACTCAGAAACTCACTTAAAAAAAGGAGGTCCTCTTATTAGCGTAATGCCCCAAAGCTGTATGCAGAATAAGGGCCACACCTTATAGCACCCTGTAAGAAGCAGTCCCTGCTCTGGGGGGCTGGCAATCTCACTCAGTGCAAGACATGGCAATCTGGTGTGCCATTTGATCTAAAAGAAGAAATGCTTGTGATTCTGTTTTTCTTCTCTGTTTGGGTACTAGTCTTTCCATATGTCTGCTATTCATATTGTATATCCTCCTTCTTTAGAGCCTTTTCTAGAGTTTTGCCTATCTGTCTAGATGTGGTTTTCTCTTGCAAGCTCTCTGTTTCATTCTGTTCATTTTATTCCTCTTCATTATATCACACAACCAATGTCTGCACAAAGCCAAATAAGGAAATAATCCCCAATGAAATGCCTTTCTTCTTTTCATCCATTTCTGCCTTCCATATATCTTTCTCCTCTTTACCCTGCATGTTCTGTTACATGCTGTAAACTCCTTTCAGATCTGTGGGCATGATTTGTTTGCAAAGAGAATCTCATCCTTTTCCAAAGTTCAGGGCATGTTTATTTTACAATTTCATTTCTCACACTGATCTTGAGCCTCTACTAACTGTCAGGCTCAGATAGGCAAACAGCTTCTCTAATGACCTTACAGAACATTCTTTGCTTACATTTAGTAGCAATTTTAAGATTTTATTTTCACAGTGGAGGCTTTCTATTTATGTTTTTAGTTTTGTATGGTTTACTTTTCCCCAGTGCTGACATCTGCATACATTGCAATGGCTTTTAGCGTGCAGCTCTGGATTACCTTTCTGCTTGTACAAAAACTGCAGTGAAATAGTCCTTGGTGGGGGGAATATCTGAAGGTATTTATGAGCATTGAATAAATCATTTTGAGTATGGTTGTATTGTACTCACTGTTGTAAGACTGGGTCACACTCCTGTTTCATCAATTTCTTCTCAGGTTTCCAAACAGACGTCTTTAGTAGTAGTAGGGATTTTTTATTGTTTGAAAGCACTAATTGAACAACAAAGGGTGTTCTGCATTGCCTGTATATAACAACCCCTAAATCAATTGAATTTGGCCATGTTGCCCTGTACCCTGCCATTCCTCTTCAGGAGCAAGGAAACTCCATGGATCTTAATAGCAAAATAGCAAACCAGTTTCATTCTTGAGGAATTCTCTCAACTTCACTGAAGTTTTACTGACCTGAATTTGAGGTCTGTGTTATTAAAACCTAAGGAAACATCCTGAGAGATTATTTCTAATAAAAAATCAGCATGGAATGGACTGTCCAATCAGCTAGAGAGCTACAGTCCAGTGTGATGCATCACATTGTATTGCTGAAACAAATACACAAAGTGTTCAGCTTCCGTGTACATTACTTAAACACATTATCTGTAGTTGTATCAAAGAATTTGGATTCATCAACTATGACAATACCCATTACTGAAAAAAGAAGAAAAGGACTCATCTCTCAGATTTTTTTTTTAATCTACATCTAGTTTGATCTGTACACTATAAGTAGGGATTACAATCAAAGCCTCTATATTCGCTCCCAAATTTAGTCTCCCCACAGTCTTCCAATGCAATGGCTAAGTTCATCATGGACTACTGTGATACCTTCATAATCAAACTTTGCTTGAAATATCGCTACATGGGAAAGAAAATCTGTATATGTTTCTAAGCACCAGCTGCAAACACCAATTTGGGAACAACTTGTGAACTTGTAAACCTGTGATCCATGTCTGTGTCCCCTGTCCACAACATCCCCTACAAGCTGTCCACTAATTCTTTCTATTCTGCCACCCAGCCAATTGGCTTTATTCCTTTTAGGTCTTTCATCATTGATTATGTTGGGGTGTTTGCCCTACATGCTCTGGATGCCCCATACAAGAACTTTAGGTTCTATGTAGAATTTACTAAAGAAATTACTGTGTATAGGGTCCCTTGTCTGTGCTACTGCTGACAGGCACCAGCATCTCCTGGGTCTCAGAAGGCATTGAATTAGACCTGATATTTCAAAATCAAAGGATATAGGACACGTGCAAAGGAACAGAGTGACATGTGAAGAAAAGGAGTGGTAAGTAAGCTTTGGGGAAACTTTGTATTTAAAAGGAGTTAAAAGACACCAAAGGTGAAAAATTATGTTAGAAGCCTGGCTAAATTCAGGTATGTGTTTGCCAGGGTTTAAGAAAATGGGAATCAAAACTTCATTAAACACTGGTTTTGTGCCTTGGGGGGGAAAAAAAGAAAAAAAAAAAAAAACACAAAAAACCCACAGAAAATATTAGCACAATAACAGAAGATTAAAGTTGCAAATGAGAACTTGTTTTGAAATTAACAACTGTATAAAATTTAACAACAATTCACAAGCTGAGTTGAAAGGAGAGAACTGGAACCTCCAGATTACCATACATGCTATGCACTTTCTTGTACAAAGTGGAATTGTGCAATGCTTCCACCATCATTTCAACCATTTGAAATTATGAACTTGCTCTCTGGAATCAGCTCCTATGGGCTTCATCTACATAAATTTCAGGCAGGTTACAGAAGGGAAATGTCAGGGCCATAACATAAATATATGGGTTGAAGGTCTTCCTTCTCATTGTTAAGGGTCATTCAGCAGTCATTTGTGTACCTTCACTATAGAAGTAGAAGAAAAGATCTGTTCAAGACCCATACCCTGTCCAGGGGAGTCAGCAACTCTCCCATTAAGATCTAATGTAAAACACCTTTTTGCATGAGCTTACAGGAACATTTTTGTCTTCGGTTCTTCTTACTTTTACTTCTGAAGGGTTGAGATTTCAGTTAGGCCCAACTCATTATCCAGTTAGAGAACATGATGTAGTGCCTTACACAAACTGATGCTTATCCCACTCCATCACAACTGTTGGAAGTATAAGTAGGGTACTGCAGTCCTCCCCAGCCCTCACACTGGTTGGCACGTTGTGCAGTAGACACCTCTATGTTATCTGCACATAACACATCTGAAGGGCAGGGCTTCCCTCAAAGCAGAAGCTAGAGCACCCATGAGCTTGGGAATATTTCTGGGGTTTACAGTAGTGCAAACGGACAATCAGTGATGAGCAACAGACTGTCATGCTCTTTCTGATGTCCTTTGTTCATGGAAGGCACACAAGAAGACTTTATATCACACAAAACATAGAACACAGTAAATTTCTGAAGTGACACCAATTTATATTTCTTTGAAATGTTTTCACATTAGATCTTAAACTTATTAAAGTTTCTGTCTTTGAGACTTTTTTAATTTTGAATACAGTTTTCCTGAATGTTGGTAATGAAAGTATTATAAGAAACTCTGCCCTTTTCCTCAGAAAGTAATTCCTTTGTTTGTCACCTGATAAGAACTTTTGGTTTTTAATAATATTCATGACTATTTGACTTCTATAAGCCCTGATTACTTTGTGGAATTATCTTTTTGAATTAAAGGTACATCCTAAGTTCATGCATTTTCAGTAGAGTTTCCTTATCTATGCTACCAGTATCACTGAATTTTTTTACACAACTCCCTGGACACATTTACTTGGGTCTTGAGCTTTGTAAATGTTAATTTTAGCAAAACTGAAGTTGTAGGACCCACTGCTCCTGAATTCTGACACTTCTGCAGAAAAGACTGTGGGCCTATCAAGAATATTTGTTTTCATTTGGGTTCAAGCTTGTTGTTTCCTGTATTTGAAAACATTTCAGTGGGAAAGTCTGAGGATCTTACAAATTCTAGTGGGGATTCACTACAATTTCTCAAATTTATTGTGACCTTATTGGAAACGTCAGCAGACTTGTCAAAAGATACAAAATATGATATAAAAGTGTCTCCTTATCTTAGCACAGAATAATACTGTATTTATTGCAGTTATGTGGCGTAGTGAAAGCTGAAGCTTTAATGACTTTGACTTATATACCTGAATTATATTTACATAAGGATTCTTGCAGGAACATCAGAAGATAGCTCAGGAATGAATATTTCTAGGAACATAGAAATGTAGGAGTACCTATAAAACATCACAGCGATGGAAAAAAGGTTGAAGGGGAAAGTACTTTGACTGTTTTGACAGTGTTTCTTGGCATCTGTTGCTTTGTTTAAATGTTTTGTTGCAGATGAGCTCTTTGATTTGCACCAAAAATGTCTGTGAACACACAGAAATATCCTTCAGGATGGGGGATTGCCACATTGCACATCATATATAATTAAATAAAGGTTTTTGACTGCATTTATGAGGCAGCCAGGGGAAGGGATGCATCTTTATTTTGGAATGCAGCACAGGCTCATGAATTCAAAGAGAAATAGGAGCATAAAGAGTTAAGATAGCTAGTATCTGAAATGAACAGAAAATTTAGCTCTTACTTGGCATAGTGCAAGACTTAAGTAATGTCTTTAAAAAGAGAAGACATCCAAGAAAAATTAAATATTGAGATAATGGTAACTAGTCTATCTGTTGTGTATAGCTGTGATGTATATTTTTAAGGCTCACTGTATCCTGACGAAATGTACACATTTTGGCAAAAAAACCCCGCAGCAATTATTTTGATCGAAAGAGGAGACTCAGTTATTATGTAAATTCTTGGCCTTTATTCTGTTTTTATTCTTCAGATGAAATGAATGCAATGCAAATCCTGGAGCATAATGGTTATTCTAGGTAATCTGAAGATATGAGTGAATCTATGGGCAAAAGCCTAGGCAATTATTTGGAATCTGATTCCCATCCCCTTTTGTCTCTCAAACTACATATTCTCCAGTTTGCTCACTGGGAACCTGCTGTCATCCCCAGCTTAGGACATCTATCCAATTTTGTGTA